TTTTTACTCCCTTTGTAATAAGTTTCAATTCCATTCAAAAAGTTGATTTTTTATTTAATGTAATTTTGTTTGTTACTTATTTAATGCGAATCTTTGGATTGTTAAAAATAGCAATAAAGTGTAATGTAATTATATTTCTAGTAGAATACACAAAGTATTTTATTTTATTAAGTATTTGATTATACATAAATATAAAATACCAACTCTTCCTATAATAAAACAAATATACAAAAATATTTTACTTTGTTAATAAATAGGTTTATAGTAACTACTGCAGATTTTTTTAATCCGCCCTTTCTAGTAGTAATAGGCACCTACAACCCTTGTGAGTGAGCAAAGAAAGTCATCCTATCTCACTCACTCCCACCGTCGAAATGGCCCGATTTGAAGAGAACTACAATGAGTGGCGCGCTCAGTCACCACGGAACGGAGATCGCGCATTGTATCAAATACGTATGTCGTGATGTGAGTGACGGGGATAGCTATTGGAACGGAGGAACACCTATGTGACTTTGGAACGTCGTTCCTTCGGAACGAGTCACGGTAATACTGTTTGACGGCGGATCACCGTGATTTTTTCATCGTGACATCATTTATCACCCACCTCTAAGGCACTCATGCGTCCAGCAAGTGCACTGCATAGTGGAACATATCTCCTAAGGTTTTGATCGCCCCCGCTTCATGCCCTCCGGCGCCCCCTTCTTCGATGTGGCAAAAGCTTTCGACAAAGTCTGGCACAACGGCTTACTTTACAAGTTATACAAACTCGGCGTGCCTGATCGTCTCGTGCACATCATTCGAGACTTCTTGTCGAACCGCTCTTTCCTTAGTTAAGGGCGTACTCTCCTAGCCTCACCCCGTAAGAGCTGGAGTCCCGCAAGGCTCTGTCCTCTCGCTCCTCCTGTTCTCTCTGTACACTTGCGATATCCCGAAGTATCAGTCAGTAAATCTCGCTCTCTTTGCCGACGGCACTGCGCTCTATTATTCGGCGCGCAGCTCCAAGTTATTTTCCGCGGCTCTCCAATCTGCCACCACACGCCTAGGCGAGTAGTTTCGCAAATGGAGAATCGAAGTCAATCCTGACAAAAGCGCAGCGGTATTCTTCACGCGAAGTAGCCTATCCAGTCGTAGGGTACAAAACCTCACCCCGATCTCGCTCTTTGACCGCCTAATCCCTTGGACACGTGAACACGGTCAAATACTTAGGAGTTACGCCCGATAGGAAGCTGTCATTCAAAGCACATGTGAAAACCGTCCACGATCGCGCCCACTTTGGTATGAGCCTGCTCCACCCCCTTCTCAACAAGCATAGCAAACTCTCCCTTCGCAATAAGGTGAGATTGTATACGACCTGCATCCGCCCAATCATGACGTACGCCAGCGTCGCATTCTCTCAGGCAAATCCCGCGCTTATACACCGCCTGCAGGCTCTCCAAAATAGATTCATGCGCAACGCGACGGGTGCCCCGTGGTACCTGCTCAACGCTAACCTCCACATAGATTTACGGCTCCCCACAATAGCCCAATTTATGAATCAGGCATCGAGAAAATACTTCGACTCTGCTCCTCACCACCCCAACCCCCTCGTGGTGGGTGCATCCTCTTACGACCTCAGGGAACAACCCCACCGCATAAACAGGACCCGTCGGCCAAGGGAAGTCCTCAACGACCCCGACGACCCTATCACTCTCTCCACTTTGAAGGCCAACCAGATCGCTAGTCAGTCCTGTCCCTCACGCACCAACCGTCCTCGCCGGCGAGGTCGCAGAGCCCCTCATTTCAGCACGTACACTGGTAGATTCTCTCTTACCGCACGCCCTTCTGGCGGAAGTCACCAGTAGCGCCCTGAGCGGAGGTCCGTGCCCACTTGGGCGCCCTCAGGCCCGCTACTTAGCTTTAAGAATATTTTAGGGGTTATGAGCCTTCAGCTCGCCCTTTTCTCCAGTGGCGCAGTCAAGGCCATCAGCGGCCAACTGCAAAATATCCTTCATAAAAAATAAAATAAAAGAATTGTTAATGCTTTCTGCCGCTGTAGCTTTTATATGGCACTGAACGGTACTGAAGTATTTGTGAAGATTCCGTTCTGATTCTGCTACTTTAAGGTTTAGCACCATACTGTTGGGTCCATAACCATGTAAATTTACGCTTTTTGATATTAGAAAACATAAATCTTCAGTCAAATAATTAAGTACCTCTCAATTTTTCATTCTTTTTTTTTTCACGTAAATATCGGACATTTCTAATAACTAATAAATATTTTGTTGAATCTAGAGAAACTTTGTGACTTGAAGCAAATTAATTTGGTCTTGGATTAAATATATCTGTCTTATAACTAAAATACACTTTTGAGACGTTTTTTTTACTATTATTAAGTAATTATTCTCTAGCGTCTATAGGGAGAGGAGCGTTTTGTTGGATTTAATAAATTTGTCTTCATAAAAAGAATTTGTCTTTTTCTAAGTAATCTGTTTTTACCGTGTATGGAACTAATAATACTAAACATATATCTAATGGAAGATCAATAATTATTTTTTGTTGATGATGACTGATATATTTTTAAAAATAGTATGAAATTATACCCTTGTAAAGCTGTGTCACTTTTGTATTACTTTATATGTATCAGTTAACAACACCATCGTTTTTGAGTGAAAAGCTCGTATGTGATTTCTATGTAATTTTTCAAGACGAAGATAAAAATATGATATAAAATGTTGTAAACGCAATAATGTTTGTAGTTATCATTTTAATTAGTTAAATTATACCTGTTTCAGATGCTATACTACTTTAATAATATATTTGAGCTAGAAGTTTATAAGTTTTTCTTCAACAAAAATCAGTAAAAACGAACTATGTGAAAACACGTATGCGAGGTTTTCACTCTAAAGGACTATCCACACACATCAGGGTCGTGCCCGGGACGTGGACAGGGCGTGCTAGTTTGCATGAACTGCGGCCCCGTCCAGACACGGACACGGACATGTGTGAACGAGTTCATACAAAATATACGCAACGACATTTTTTTGAAACCCTGACGGAGCACGGCCCGTCCACGTCCCGGGCACGGCCCGGATATGCGTGGATAGACCTTCAGGCGACGATTTTCAGAAATATATATGAAATTACTGTTAACGCCATTGTAATTTCAAAGTCACAGATTTTTGATGAATGAAATGATGAATTAATGAGAAGTTTAACCAGATCTATATTGATACCTAAGGGCTCCTGTAACTTCAAGTATTGTAGTTTTATTGTAGTTATTATTAACATATTAAAGTTTAGTGTGATCATCACCAAACTATGGTAAAATTTTCGTAAGTCCCACTACTAGATACTGGGGTGAAATATTGAACGTCGTGATGGGCAATGTTCATGCTTGGCCGAATATTACTTGCCTACCTACTACACAAGGTCGACATAACCCTAATCGACATGATAGGAAGATGAAGAATGTTCATGTCCAATAAAAAGTCTTCCATTTACATGCTTCGATTCTTTGTGATAATATTGTTTTCGTTTCGTAAGAAAAGAAGACAGAACAAAACAGAACCTAACTTTTCGATTCACATGACACAATCGATTTGTCACTGAAGCATGAGGCGAACCGCGTAACGCGATGAAACAGGCCGGGGTAGCATTATATTGTTTTTCCAATTTAGAATTGCCATTTAAACCACTGTTTCAAGGAAATCTAAATTTGTAAATTTGTCCGTATTTTGACCGTGTTGCCGTTTAAAACGCTGTTTTTACGAATTATATTTTTTTTATCATACTAAGTGACGAGACGAACAAGTCTGCGCCTGGTGGTAAGCGTCACGCCTATCCATGACAGTTACACAGTACCACTCAGAGCTTTAAATCGCAAAAATGTGAGGAGCAGTGTCTGTATTTTGACTTCTGGTGAAATTAGCCTGTATTTAGACTAATTACTTAACTTTTATTTTGTCAAATAAAGTGAAACTTAATCAGCACAATTTCGAAACCTAAACGTAAACTTAGATATGAGTTTTTAAAAAGAAAAATGGTGACCTTGGCCATGTTTTGTAAGGAATCAAGACTAATTTCTTCCATTGCCAATACGAATATTCATAGCAAAATTATATGAGCTCTACCATTCCTGGGTTCAAAAATAACTTGTCGACCTTTACAAGAAACACTTTTTACAATAAGAATAGATGGATTATTATATAGCCAAATAAACAGATAACACCGTGTAATGCTTTGCTAAAAGATAACAAATGGCGCATTGCAGATTTTTGAGATGCCTTATCTTATTACTTAAAATATTATAAATATTTGCTTCTTAATAAATTTTCTCCGTTGGGTAGTAAAAATACATAGAAAAGGAAAGACAACCCCTTACAACAATGGTACAAAGATACCGATAAGGTGATAACTGTTATTCTTTTATTGCATAAAACAGAAGATTTTATCAGCGGAAATAAATAATCTATTGCAATTTAAATATTTACTTTATGAAGATTTTTATTAACGCCAACTTAGATTAAAATAATTAAGTACTTATAGTTTAAGCGACATGACGTTTCGTAGATAACACAGGGTTCATAATCGTTTGTTTAACTGATAATTATGTTTCTGTCATTTACTAATTTCACAACCGAATAACAAGTCTTCACTTTAAAGATAGTAATAACATTGATGACGATTTTGTATGGCTCAATGGTTAACATAAATCAGGACTTCGTTATGTTAATGTTGAATGACTTAGAAACAAAACGTTTTTGATCTGGTTAGCCCAGGTACTATTCCGGATTTAATTTCGTTGATGGAGTGGTACTGGGAGTACAGGGAATTCTGTCATTTGAGACCTGATTATCGATATGATGGCCTGCTAAGCTAAAAATGGCATAAAGGCTTTTCATGCAACCAAATAATAGATAATTATAGCGTAGTCGAAGATCCCCAAACTATGCCTAACCTACTAAATGGCAGTCAACTTTACATCATTTTTGGCATATTATCGTTATGTCTTATTGTTGTAGCGGAAGATGACACGTCACTATGCGACGAAGAAGCAGCAGCAGAGGCGGCGGCGGCGTTCGCACGAGCTTGCGCGCCTGATACAGTACGCCTGCTTGCGCCACACTCTCGGCCGCATGTGCGCTCGCTCGACCCAGACCTGCGCAGGCGACTTGACGACCATGAACAGTAAGTAAATTCGCTCTAAGTTTTAAACTCATTTCAGGCTCAGTTTTATTAGCCAGAACCTCGGCCATTAAGGCCGAGGGGTCACGATTAATAAAAACGTTCTGTCCATCATCTAAGCATGCTGGCTCACTGCAGATTATATCACAAATAACAAAAACAATTACCGCATTGAGCTATAACAATATCTTTCGTTTCACGTTGATTTATGAAATTATTCACTAGGTGTCGTTTGCTTGCCTAAGTGAAGATGTTGGAACTGTCTAGATGGCCCCACTACTTTATTTTATTCTCATAATTATAGCCATCACAATGTAAGAGGCCTAATTTGACAGCTAAAGAAGACGATAGTGTGTAACTTTAAATGCAATTAAAGAAACATGAAACATACAATTATTAATAGGAAATGAAACTATTTTTCCGGATTTAAATTCCGGATATAAATGTGTAACAATCGCGAAAACCTAAGAACTCGATATACAATCATTAACTTAATAGGTTTAAAAAAAATACATTAAATAATTAAAGTAGCCTCTATTTCGTGCCACACTATCAGCAGTATCTACGTCAATGATTAAAGTGCAAACAATACAATCTTTTACCGTAATTTTATGTCGTTACCATCTTTCTCCGCACTTTGATAACACATTTATCTTCGTCACACTGAATTTGTTTTATTAGATTTGTCCGTGAAGTAGTCACAAAAATTTTGAAATAATAAGTGTAGAGTAAGCGAGAAAGGCACGGTTTACTTTTACTACAAAATTCATTATTAAATGTTTCATTGAACTGTGTATGTATGCAATCTTGTTTAAAATATGAAGTTAAATTTCAACGTGCTTCTTATCGAATTGAAATTAGGAACATGTAGGAATAAGCCGTGGTGGCCCGATAATGGTTTGACATTACCGCCTCCCGAGCAGAGGCCGTGGGTTCGAATCCGGGCTTGTGTCTTTGAGTTGCACGGAATTTGTGTGCGAAATTAAATTTGAAATTCACCATGACCTTTTCGGCGAAGAAAAACATCCTGATGAAACCCGCACATCGAAGATGCTTCACAACCTTCGGAAAATGTTTGAAGTCTCTATCCCGCATGGCTCAGCGTGGACTATGGCCTAAACCCTCGAGACTCCTGCCCAGCAGTGGGAGGAATAAATGAGTTGATTATATATTCCGATGAGATTAATTGTGACAACGAAAAACTTGCTTATATTAATATTTATTCGACATACTTCAATCTACGGCTTATGATATCAAACTTTTGACAGTACGTCATACGTACGTCATCAGGTCTGTAAATTAATCAGAAAAATAAAGACTTCTGACGTCAATTTCATTAAAACGCTAGTAATTTTGTTCAGTGTGTATGTGTGTGTCATTTCGAAAATTGAGGAAAACTAACAAATCTTATTCAAACACACAGCATCTCCTTATATCAGTTGCAACCATCAAAGCATATGTTTGATATCAACAAAATCTTACTACAAATATTTTTGTCCTAAAAATGACACTCTAGATTACTTTTCCCGTTGTGTTCATATTTGTTCGCCTTTATAAAATTATAGGTTTTATTATTAAAAGCCTTTGGTTCAAGTACAACACAATACGCCTTGGCGCATTCGTAATATTTAATCATGTTAAGCATTGTTTCTAATGACAAAAATAGTTTTGTTACTTTAACACAAATATACCCACGATAGCTTTGAAAAGAACTTCAAAATAGATTTTTGTTTCTCCTGACACGAAATTCAGTTTTCTCCTTTTTATACATGTACTTCTATTGTGATTATAAATTGAGTAAATCCATAATATTCTATTTCAACTCGTCCAGGGTAGTACTGCCTATTTCTGCCGCCAAGCAGTAATGTCAGCATTACTGTGTTCCGGTTTTGAAGGATAACGGTACTGAAATTCCAGGCATATGGGACTTGTCAACTTATGTCTCAGAATGACGGGCGCAGTGGCAGTGCCCCTCAGATCTTTGTGATTTAAAGCTCTGAGTGGCACTGCAACTGTTATGGACAGGCGTGTAACTTACCATCAGGCGCTCGACTAGTTTGTCCCGTCACTTAATATTATATAAAAAAAACTAGATACTAAGCAAATACTAATTCGGTCCAACGCAAAATCCATTCAATATCCGCTAAATTGTTTTAATAACCGGCAATTTGTCCCATCACTGCACGGAGTTTTCCAAACTTGACGTTGGCGCAATCATTGCGCAAAACGATGGAGCCATGTGGATATGGCAGAACTTGACGAGAATTACATGTCAAACCCTTATGCCGCGTTCTCACATTCGTGGGATAGGCGATGTGAATAGCCATGCGATGCACGATACGCATGTGTAAACGGTACTTCGCTATCGCGAAGTTAGGCACGGGTAGCGTCGCGAAGTTAGATACTAGTAGCGACGCGAAGTTACTTTTTTTTTATTTCCTGGCACTATGGCGTCCAGCCTTTGGCCATATGCAATTTCGATTGAGTTGCCAATTTTTGATAATTCTTCCAATACTTTCTTCCTTCTTGAGACATCAGGATATCATTGTGGTCGCAGTTGTTGTTGTTGTGGAACTTTGATGTGGGGTTTTGGATATTAATAGGAATTTAAAAACGGGGAAACGAAAACGCGGAATAAAAATAAAAGCAAACGGAATTTTGGTACGGTTATTAACAAGATAGGGTAGGTAGTATATTATAGGTAAATCTAAACAATGAAAGATTGAAATTATGAAATGGAAATGAGATGGTAATAGCTGAAAATAATGTTAAGTGGATAAATAACAATCTTAATTTTAATAACATTGTTCATTATGAACTGAGCCAATGCATTATAAACAGTTATTCGCAAAGTTGCCACTGTAGCCAGTTTTTAGCTGTATAGAATTATTCAGATTTACAAAATTATTAGGTACAAAACAAAATATTTGATAGTTAATCTTTTAGCTCCTTTAGTAAGAAAAGTAAACAATTGGAAAAAAACGAAAATATAGCTTAACTTTCAGTATCACAAGATGATAATGATTTGATTGATATTGATGATAATTTTTTTTTTCGATTTATAATTTTAAAACGCAAAAATATGTATTTAAAAACGCAATCCCATAATTATGTTTTTGTTCAGCCACTTTAGGCAATTTTACCCAGAATTAATTTCTTGGAATCTAGCAACTTTTTTACTTAAAGTTTACCTACTTCCTCCTTGGGCAACATGGCAACACTACTTATTCAAAAAGTTGACAACCAACGTGAGTTGCTACAATTTCTTGAAAACAAGTCTCTATACACCGTGTATACAGATGGTTCAAAGACTAAAGATACTGCAACTTCGGCATTTTATGACCCACTTCAAGATTAACAACTATTGTAGTATCCTCATTATGCTATTATTATATTTATGCTATTTTCCAAGCAATACTTTATGTAAATATTCTCGAAGTTGTTAATATAATTATCTTTACTGATTCTCAAAGTGTATTGGCTGCACTCAATAACAAATAATATAAATATAATTTGTGTTATATAGTATACATTATAAAACAATTGCTACATGACATGTATAGTAGAGGTAAAAATATAACATATAAGGTGTGTACCTTCACATTCTAGTATTACTGGGAATGAAGAAGTTGATGGAGCTGCACGAAAAACAGCAGATGAAGACCATTCCTCTTGTTTGAAAGTACCTTGACTTAAGTACACTGACTTCCACGCCCAGTTCATATTGTCATTGAAGTCCTTATGGATGGAATATTGGATTCGACTGAAATAAAAGCAAAGTGGTACACCAGCATACAAATGAGCCCGCCCGCCCAACCTTGGTGGAATAAAACGAATCTAGACTCACGGAAGCAGATAACTGCCATCAATAGAATGAGATTTGGCCATTGTAGAATTCCTGCTCACCTACAGAGATTGGGAATCCTTCAAAATGATAAATGTCCTCATTGTACCGAAGAAACAATCGACTTACAACATATCATTTTCACTTGTGTTCAATGCCGTTTTCATCGTCTAATACTTGTGGCAGAAATAAAGGACCTTTGTGTAGATGGCAGTGATATTCCAAAAAACGTTCAATCGTTACTCTCAAGATATATCTTATTTAAACCAATATATGTATAACTTTATATCTAACACTGTGAACGAAATTTAAAGTGTTTTCGTTTTACTTTCTAAGTGTTATATTTTCGTGATGAAAGTGATTATGTTGACGATTGGCTTAAGAGGGCAAAGTACCCAGAGCCGTTTTTTTTTACTGGAGCTGCATAAAGGAAAAAGTATATGCAAAACCTATAGAAAATCTAGCCCAATTACGCCACAAAATTGTTGAAGCAGCAGAAGAAATTAGTTCGAGAAGATTCGCACGATTGATAAATAGATCTTTTATGAGGCGATGCAGAGCCTGTATTCGTGCCGAAGGCAAACAATTTGAGCATTTACTTTAACATTAAAGTATTACAATAGTTCCTTTCGTTTCATTTTGATTAAAATTTATTATAATACAACAATCGACTAATTATTAAGTTGACACACTCACATGTGTTAGGGTAGATTATTTTGTTTAATGCGTTGTCACTATCCATCTCACTCTACCACATATGACCATCTCACTTCCGCGATGATAATATTTTTTATGTAATGAAGAGTGGCAAGTATTGTACCATTTTGAAATCTTGATTATATGGGCCATCTTTTAAAATAACTTGCCCAGGGTAGTGTAGTACATTTTTAAAAAAATATGAAGTGTCAAAGCTAGCTGACATATTTTTTTCAAGCTACGACTCAATGAAACTTGTTCTTTTTACTAAACTCATAACGTTTATTGTTTGATTTGTGACTGCAATAAATAGCATGGTTATTTATGACGACGTTAAAAAAAATCACTCCAAAATTTGAAAATTTGTGATGACAGTACCTAAACATGTGGTCTAGGGTATCGATTTTCAACATTTTCAAAAAAATGCCTATTATCACTAAGTGACATGGATTTTTTTTTTTTA